ACGCTTTTGACCATACGTCAACATCCGACGTTTTAGGGTACCCTTTAACGTCAGTTAGATGACGATCCTAGGGCGTCATCTAACTGACGCTTTACCTTTAGCGTCAGTTAGATGACGCGGGTAGGTTTAGGTCTGGGGTAGGGTTAGGATTAGATAGCGTCATCTAACTGACGTTAAAGGGTACCCTAAAACGTCGGATGTTGACGTATGGTCAAAAGCGCCAGTCATATGACGTCTTGGGATGAGACTGGGCTGTTTTTGCAGTTGTAGTGATTTCTTCACCCAATTTAATTTTAATTGAGAGAAAAAATTATAAATGAAAGTTAGTAGAAGTTTTATTTTACCAATGATTAGTGTTAAAAGGGTTTTAACATATTCCATGCTCATTTCTACAGTGGCCGAGAGAGCTCAACGCGCTACAACTGAAGCAAACACATGCAAATAGAAAAACACCTGCAAATTAAGAAAACATCTTCATCAGTTTCACAACACGTGTGAGCCCCAAATAGTTACAACACAACCAAATACAGAAACGCGCTGCAAACGTTCACAACACAACCAAATACAGAAACACACTGCAGATAGCACAGACCACAGCGGAAATGTTTCCAGGGGAACCAAATAAGTGACGAACCCGGCTGGGACGTGCTTATTGCTCGTGAGCATCCCTATGCCCTACTCCAGTGGTTCCCAAACCTGTCCTGGCGACCCACCAACACTGCACGTTTTCTTTGTCTCCCTAATCAAACACACCTGATTCAACTCATGAGCTCATTATCACATCGGTTAATGAGCTAATGAGTTGAATCAGGTGTGTTTGATTAGGGAGACAAAGAAAACGTGCAGTGTTGGTGGGTCGCCAGGACAGGTTTGGGAACCACTGCCCTACTCCCTACTCTCTTTGAAGGGCAGAGCCCTTGAAGTGGGCACTTTGGAGTGAGCAGGGCACTTGTGTGCCATTATGTACACTGTTAACTTTCGCTGTAGATTTAGCAGCACAGTACTGTAAAAACCTACAGTACAATACTGCATTTCTATATTACAGTAAAATACTGTAATTTGCATTGCATTCTGGGTAATTTTGTTTGAGCGGGAACATTTTACAGTACATTTTAGTGTTGCTGTAACCTGGCTGTAACATGCCAGGCAAATATACAGGGTTGCTGTAAACAGAGAGCGCGCGCGCCGCCTGACTGACGTCAGAGCACAACTGCGGCAGTTCACTCACTCAGCGCGGATATCTCACTCTGCGGATATCTGCAAATTTGGTAAGTTAATTTTGAATTTTATAATAAGGTTTAAGGATTTTACGCTATAGTGTGTAGCCTACATAGCTTTTAATGTGAAATGACAGTGGAAGTTTAGCCAGCGACGGTTGCAAAAACACTGTTAAGTTTGTTAACGTTATCTGCTCTTTCACTGCTTGTCCTGACATTTTCAAATTTAACGTTATAACTCCGTGAATTAACATTACCTTACGGTTTATTTCGTCCAAAACAGATTTGGTGATTGTTGGAACGGTGGAAAGACAAATCGAGATGGTCTTTTGTGAGTTTTATTTTGTTTCTGTCGAGTTTTAATTAAATGTGTTTTACGATGGTCTGCGAGATAAAATTATACTGCATTTGACATGTTAGTCTTACTGTTAGGCCTATCTCTGTAGGGAACACCCGAGCCTGTCAGTGGTAAAAACAAGCACTTATAATAGACATATCGTTATTTTGATCAAACTGCTATAGGCCTATTTGCAGTCCGTTTCCCGAATGACGAACTTAATGATTTTATGATCAATACTGGACCAAATTGAAGTCGTTTAGACACAAAATAAGACGCGTGAAAATAAGGCTTAAAAACACTGCACTTTCCTTTGCAACGCAAAATGGGTGATTTATTTGGGCTTAGAGAGATGGGCTTAGAGAGATTGGCTATTGGTACCAGTTTAGCCTTTTACTTCATTTCTATTTAGGCAGGAGACCCAGTTATATTGATTATTATAATAATTAAAAATATAAATAAACGTGTAAATTGTTGAAAAACTTCAGACTATCAGAGTTAATGATCTATTAGGCAACAAAGACAAGTAAACTGCATGCCAAAAAATCAAGTTAGAATATTTAGAGAGGTCAAGTGAAGCTTATGTTTTATTAACCTAACTTAGATGTATTGTAAGCAGATTTATGAGATATTTCCTTAACAAGAAACACATAACCGTTAACTGAATACTATTTATTTTGATTTCTTACAGCTCTACAGTGTGGGACAATTTGCAGCCTGGGAAGGAGTTTTATGTAAGTATTAGCCATGTTAATACAATGTTTTAAACTTAAAGTTTTAAAATCTAAAGATTACTTTTTTTTTTTTTTTGTCTGTTTTTGTTATTTCTACAGAGTTTTCTCTCTTCCACTGTCTGTCTGCTCATCTTTGGTGCTGTGGCTAACAGATTTTGTCATGTGTTTTTGTGTGTCATGTCTTTTTCAGTTTTGGTCATCGGTCCAAGGTTCCAGTACCACCTCAAAATCCCAGCCAAGTTTTTAAAGGGATACTCTACTGGTTTTTAATATTAAACTATGTTATTCCCTTAACTAAGACGAATTGATGCATATCTCTCTCGTCTCAGTGCGTGCACTAAATCGCTGTCTTGCGGCGAAACTTTGTTAGATCTTATCTCAGCCCTGTTCATTCAATACGTGCCAAGAAGAGAAGCGACCAAACACCTCCACGTTTTCCCTATTTAAATACAGTTACACGAGTAGTGTGACTCGACCTAGGACGGTGACACAAAATTTTCTAAGCGTGTAAAATGGATATCTATATTGTATGGCAGAATACCATAGCAAGTGCTTGAGAGCACTTCGACTCGGCGCAGTAATATCATCTCTCGTGAAAAGTCCGCTCCCGTTGAAATGAGAGGGAGGAGGAGAGGCAGCGGGGGGAGCGGACTTTTCACGAGAGATGATATTACTGCGCAGAGTCAAAGTGCTCCCAAGCACTTGCTATGGTATTCTGCCATACAATATAGTTATCCATTTTACACGCTTAGAAAAGCACAACGTTTTATTTTGTGTCACCGTCCTAGGTCGAGTTACACTACTCGTGTCACTGTATTTAAATAGGGAAAACGTGGAGGTGTTTGGTCGCTTCTCTTCTTGGCACGTATTGAATGAACAGGGCTGAGATAAGATCTAACAAAGTTTCGCCGCAAGACAGCGATTTAGTGCACGCACTGAGACAAGAGAGGTATGCATCAATTCGACTTAGTTAAGGGAATAACATAGTTTAATATGAAAAACCAGTAGAGTATCTCTTTAAGTATGTCCAGCTACAGCTGCAAGTCATGCAGTTTCTCAACCTCTCTCTTAAATGTGTTCACCATACATGGTTTTAATAGTGTAATTGATCAATAAAAAATTTTTTTGACAAGAACATTGTTTGGATTGTCTTTTGATTTGCAGTTATTCTGAAGTTGCATTATAATATTATTACCTATAGATTTATATACTGTAATAACTACATATTATATAGTTATAATATCATTAGTAATTTGAAAATTACAATGTTTTGCAATAATGCATCAATATATCAATATAGATATTACAGTACAATATCGTATAAATTACAACAGAAGCAGACAAAAATGACAAAAATACTGTAAAAATACAGTACAATACTGTTTTGTAGTTTACAGTACTGTTCGTGTGTACTGTAAATTGAATTACAGTACAGTTACTGTAAATCGAAATACAGTACCTTGCTGGCAACCTTGCTGCCAGTACTGTACTGTAAAAATACAAGAAAATTGTTAACAGTGTAGCCATTTGGAAAGCACTTGGTGAAGGGAGCAACGAAAGACAACGTAATTTCCTCATTTTAATGTTCCCATGACAACGCAGCATGGTGTCCGACAGCTAAAAACTGTTAACATAACTGTTGCAAATATACATTTTATACAATTTTTTTTTTTTTTTTTATATGTGTTGTATATATGTGTGAGAGTGTCTCAAAGTTAAAACTTCACTTCTCATCTTTAGACCCTGATTCAAACACTTATATATCGATAATAATATTAAAACTGTTGATCATTCATTTTTTAATGTAATTTGGTAATACATTTTGGACTGAGATATTTAATTGGATAATATTAAAAATATCTATTTTTCCATCTATTACTTGGGATATGGTGAAAGTTGGAATACGTTTAGAGGACAAAAATGTGGACTTTGTTGATAATTACTTACTATACTATAACTATATGTTAAAATATTTTATTCACAAATCCCGTTTTGAAAACAGCACCACAGCCTAATGTCTTTAAAAAGAGTTAACCCTAAATATACTGAGGCCTACAATTATGAGAACTTATGTAGCCAGAAAAAAAAGAAAAAAAATTAATATTTGAAATTAGATTTTTTTTTTCAACCCTTATGTATGTATGTATTTATTTATTTATTTTTTAAATATATATTTTCATCTATTTCTTGCTTTTGCTTTTTGTTTCTCTTTTGTATCATGTATTCATAATTGTTAAATGTATAATGTATTAAAAGTTTGGTCCCCTTTAGACATTCAACTGACTATACATTACATTGCGAGTAGCCTATATACAACTTATTCTACTAACCCTAAATTATATACTAATGCTCAACTAATACTCTAATGAAAGTTAGTTAACATGTAGGTGCAGTTTTACTGCTTTCATAGTCAACAGAATGTCTAAAGTGGACCATCAAAGTAAAGTTTTACCAATTATTATATCTCAGTCTGTAAGGACTTGCAGTTGAAAAAAAATAATAATAAAGAAAATTCATCATTTATATACAATCATGATTACTTTTAGGGAGTTATTTGGTAATAGATGTGACAAATCCAAAAATTAGCCAACTTTGAAACTAGATTTGAGGAACATGTGAGATAATTTTGGTTTAAAAATCTCAATGTAAAGAAGCAAATTATGAATAACATGTTAACCTTGTGTGTTTTCATGAAGAGATGATCAAACTCACCTGATACTGTCAGTGTAACTTTATCACTGTGTCGTGATCTGTGTGATCCTTCAGTCTCTGTCCCATAACAGGAGTATTTTCCTGCGTCAGACTCAGAAACACTGAATGTGTGTTCCTGTCGTTCACTGAAAACACTGGTTGAACCGTCTTTATACCAGTTATACCGCCAGCTAGTGACTCCTCCATCATATATGTCACATCTGAGAGTGACTGTCTCTCCTCTGAATACATGATGATCAGGTTTAATGGTCACTTTGGGTTTTGGTCTTTCTGTAATGACAACAATAAACAATTAAAACAATGTGATAAAGAACATAACAAATAATAATAATAGTAATAATTATTATTCAAATAAATTCAATAAAATATGCTGTTTTTAATGTATGAACAATTACTTAATTGTAAAACACACATTAAATTAGGTTACACTGAAGTGTTGTTCTCTAAGCTGTTATAGTCACTTATTCTCTTGGTCTTATGAATCAATTTCATTGTGTTCTCAGAGAGAGTCATTAAATGAGAGAAAATACTTGCCATGTATTGTCACTGCTACTGGTTCACTGTAATGTGTATAATTTCCTCCTCTTCTTGCTCTGCATCTGTACTCTCCTCCATCAGAGACTTTCACAGGATTAATTGTTTTAGTTTCAGCTTCAGGAGATTCAGTGTTTGAGTCTTTAATCCAGAGAAACTCCCATCCATCCCATGACTGATCCAGCTCACATCTCAGAGTAACTGAGTCTCCAGTGAACACTGAACTCTGTGGCCGTACAGTCAGAGTCGGTTTGGGAACATCTGTCAATATAAAGTCAGTGGGAGCATAAGATGTAAATGTTTTTTAGCAGATCTCAGATCTCTTTTTTTGGAAATGTAATATTTCTGAAGAAAATGGCATTTTTGTGAGTGAATGTTTTTGGTGTTTTTGTCACACCTCAGAACCCTCTGTTCAGTGACGCTGATGACGTAAGACGCTGCTGACGTGTGTCTGGTGCGCCCGAGCTTCGTTTACAGTCTGAGGGAGACGCACTCTGTAAACAAAACAATCTTCGCAAACATGTCTAAGGATTTCGACACAGAGGAAGACTTGCATTTTTTTGCCCAGCCATATTTATTTGAACCCGAATACACGGACGCACCAGATACACGTCAGCAGCGTCTTACGTCAGCAGCGTCACTGAACGCGGATCGACAACAAAACCGGAAGAGAATACAATGCTGAATAAAGTCGTAGTTTTTGTTATTTTTGGACCAAAATGTATTTTCGATGCTTCAAAACATTCTAACTAACCCACTGATGTCACATGGACTACTTTGATGATGTCTTTATTTCCTTTCTGGACAAGGACAGTGTACCGTGTATACATTTTCAATGGAGGGACAGAAAGCTCTCTAAAATATCTTAAACTGTGTTCCGAAGATGAACGGAGGTCTTACGGGCTTGGAACGACATGAGGGTGAGTCATTAATGACATGATTTTCATTTTTGGGTGAACTAACCCTTTAATGCTGATGGTGAGGAATTACAATTGCAATATCTCATAATGTACCTCAAACTGAGTAGCGTATAATTGAGAAACGTCCTGCTCAAGCTGTCCTTGCGATGGAGGTTCAGGTTGAACAACTAGTGTTGTTGCTGATGAGCTAATCAACACCAGCTGAGGCTCATCAGCCCTGCTATATTTAATGCCTGTGCAACCTATCCTGTGTTTTCTGTGTTGCGTTTGGTGTCATCTTGTGGTGTTCCTGGTTGTGTTCGAGTCTCCCTGGTCTTGTGCTGGGTCTCCTGTGGATTTTTCTGTTCCTGTCTCTGTGGATTGTTCATCAGCTTGATTCATCTTGGAGGACACGGTTGCCCTGCGCTACCAATAGAGACTTTGCGTCTCCACATGCTTCACCTGATTCATTCACTCTTGTCTGGACATAATAAATTGTTATATTTCAAACTCGCTACTGAATCCTCCTTTGTTAGCCTGACAGAACGATCAGAACACAATGGATTCAGCGAGTGCATCAGATCTACGTGAATTTTTGTCCAGCAACAGTGCTCGTATTGACCGTCAGGATGAACAGCTGGAGTGGCATTGGTGATAACTCTGCTGTCAGGACGTGCGACTCTGTGGGGAATGGCGGGGGAATCAACATCCTTGCTGTTCAACACACTTTTTGAGGAGATGAGACGGGTCTTTGATCATGCGGTAGCGGGTTGGAAAACAGACCCGTCTCGGACTAGTTCCTGACATTGGCAGCCGAATGCAAGTGGAACGAGGAGGCATCAGTGGGACATGCTCCTGCATGGGTTGGCTGACCGTATTCAGAAAGAAATCTTTGCGATGGAACTACTCACCGATCTCGACAAACTCATCAAATTGGCTTTTCGTGTAGATGCACGTTAACAACGACGCAATTAGCAAGTCCGTCACACTCTTGTGTCTGAACTTCCTGTGTATTCCACTTCCAGTCTCTGTAATGCGGTCAGCCTGACACCCGATCATGAACCCATGCAGGTTGACCGCCGGAGAGCTAAGGGACTTTGCTTGTATTGTGTTGCTGCCAGGCACATCTTGGCTGACTGTCTAGTAAAAGGCCAAGCCGACAGTAGATTTGAGGTTACTGTCGGGTGGATTATTCCTGGAGAAATCGTCGTCCACAACTCTTCTCCCGGTAAGACTGCAATGGGTTAGCCTGGTAATACCAAACTCTGCTACTTCCCTTTGCTTCATAGACAGAGTCTGGCATGTCATCATTGAAAAGTGTTTTCTTTATCGCGGGGAGGGCGCTTGTCTGAAGTATAAAATCATTGGTTACCCTTAAGCCAATCACATAACGTTTGGTTATGACGCGTGTTATTCGCCAGCTCAGCCGCATCGAACTTCCACTGTAAACACATGTATGATGCGAAAACGAAACCATCGAGCGAAATACCGGAGTGAACATGGCTGACCGAGTTTTGCTGCCTCCTTAACCTGATCCTCCATGAGTGCAACCAAGAGGGACACAATCACAACTATCGCCGTGCCGGCCTTTGGCCTGCCCAGTTTCTCGCTGACGATCGGTAATATTTGATAAATTAAACTTTTATCAAAACCTGTCGGGAGTAGGGCCACGACATCACCTCCATTCAAAATGTTTAACAAACACTCTTCTTGTTCGGGCTTCAGTTTGGAAATACCAGGAATATTCTCCACAACAGAGCGAATTGCATCCCGTGTCTCCATATCCGCGGTCGTTTTCGATTTCCCCAATCTTAAACTCGGCTCTTAGCGTCTACGTCACGGCTCTCAGCCCGCCCTCTGTTCGTTGATTGGCCGGCTGTTTTCAGGCCGGAGGAAAACTGAGAGACATGTCGATGTCTCAGACTAAGTACAGAAGTTAAATGAAATTGAGCGGAAGTACGAAGTCTGACGTAGTCAGGCTAGCAATGGGTAACCAAATTCCACAACTGTCAGACCCTGCTGGATTCCGGAGCTGAAGGTAACTTTATGGATTTCAACCTGGCACAACACCTTTAAATTTCCATAATTTCACTCAGTTAGAAGATCTCTGTCAGTGCGATTAATGGACAAGCTCTTCCCCAAAAATCACACACTACTGGTCCTGTAACCCTTGATACATTAGGGAATCATACTGAGAATCTCCGTTGGCTCCTATCATCCTGGCTTGTTCACCACAGTCCTCTGCGTGGAGTAAACAGTGTTATGCCTCCTGTCTTATGTCTGCTTGTTCGTCTGTGCCTTGTTCGTCTTGTAAACATCAAACCCAAAGCTTTGTCTCGTATTTTTCACCATTCCGAGCGCCCGTCCACTCCTGAGTCCATAATACCTGAGAGACCCGTTGTATCTACACTCACATGGGAGATTGAGTTGAAGGTTCGAACAGCCTTAGAAGGCAAGGCAAGGCAAATTTATTTATATAGCACATTTCATACACAATGGTAATTCAAAGTGCTTTACATAGAAGAAATTAAAATAATCAAAACAAATAAGAATAATTAAAGGTGCCCTAGAATGTTTTTTTTAATTATTATTTTATAATGTTTCCTGGGTTGCCCTTATAATGTTAGTATGTTTTTTAGATCAAAAATAGTCATAATTTAGAAATAAAAGGCATTTTTCCTAGCCTGATTTTAGCCTCTGATTTGAACGCTCTGTTTGAAGGGGCGTGTCTGCTGTGTGTAACCGGCCTCTGCTGTGATTGGCTGACATGCTTGCATATGAAATAGCTATGTATTACATGTGAAACGTACTCGGTTACTAACGTAACCTCTGTTCTCCTACGAGAGTATCTCTCGTATTGCGTAATATCTTACGCTATGGGGAAAACCTCTTTTCCTCGAGATATTGAAGCCAAAAATGATCCTTAATTTTTAATCAATGCAAAACGCTTTGCGGCAGCAAGCAGACATAGGCAAGGCGGCTCGCGCGCCTATTGGCTGCTCTGTGGCAAAAGCAGCAGCCTATCGAGAGCGGCTCTGCGTGACGTCTTGACCAATGGGGGCACTTCGCGCCCATTTCGTCACGTCCCGCCAGAAAGGGCGTGGTCTCGCCCTATAAAGCCGGCCGATAGCTGATACAAAATGGAAGCTTTAGCGTTAAGTTCTGCCAGGAAGACTCAATTGCTACGTCACTTATTACCTTCTCATCTATCCAATCGTGTCTAATACTTGCGGTATAAAAGACCAGTACTTACACATGTTTGAGTTTGCAGATGCTGACGCTTTCATTCGATTGCTCACATCAGTTGCCGACCAAAAAATGTCCCAGACCTCGTATCTCGTTTGCGACTACTCAGATTCTGACGTAGATTTTGTCCCGCCGTCTCCTCCCGCTGCACGCCGCAGCTCGCGCATTCAATGCCGCGTTTTCCTTGGGCGCAGTAGTCTTCCGTGAGCTTGATCAACGCTCTCGAGGACGCCGGCATACCCATCAGCCATGGTCTCTCAAGGGAAGATCTAATGCTTTTGGCCCAAAATACCTTGGGTAATCCTCCAGTCTCTCTTCCTTCGACCCCAAAAGCTTCTACTTCAGCAGCACAGCCAAAACCAACTGGCAGGAAAAGAACTGCTAAAACATCTTCACCCCATCCAGCTAAAAGGATACAGCTACCTGCTCAGGCGCCATCCTCTCCGCAGATCGCCATCTCCACAGACACGAACTATCAGCTCATATCTGCAGTTCAAAGCCTTTCTAAGATGGTCAAAGGACTGGAGTCCAAAATGTCGTCCCTCGAACATTCCCTTGCTAATCCAAACCTCAGCTCAGATCCGGCCTCGAACTCCTCAGCAGCTCCACAAATTAATTTTCCTTCTCTCGGATTAACCAGCCATTCGAACGTGCCTTCAACATCAGCTGCCCTGCCTGCTTCTCTCCCAGCGATTCAGTCGCCATTTGAAGAGGTTTCTGCTCCACCGGCTCCTTCTAACTTCAATCTCTCAACAGCTGCTCCAGCGCAAGCCTTCGGTAGGCGTTTTGTTTCTCCTGCCGCAGCAACTGTGTCCTCTCACTTAAGATCGAACATTATCCAAGGTAAGGACATTAACTTGGCTACATTATTGCTTCCTTCGCCTGCGGCCGACAGGAAAATGGTCGACTGTGGTGACGTGGCAGTCCTTCTTAAAACCTCCGATCCTCGTTTACAATGCAATCTCTCGTTTGGTGAATTTGTAATTGCTTTTAGCATTTACCGAGACATTTTGTGCCAGGTTTATCCAGAGAGAAGAGAAGAGCTAGATCTCTATTTAGCTATGATGGCGGACTTCAGTCAAAGATATGGAGGCACGTTATTTTACGAATACCACAAGTCATTCTCTGCTAAAGCGGCTTCCTTCATTACAATTTACAATACAAGGTTAGACTGGTCAATCACAGACACGGAACTACTCGTCCGTCATTTCGGCGGCCAAAAAAGCTTGGCTTGTGCTATTTGCAGCGCTCATGGGCACACGGCTTCATTTTGCCCCAAAGCTTTCGCAAGTCATGATTCGTTCGCTGGCCGTGGTGCTGAAAACGTAAGACTCTCTTCAAACAGCAGAGGTCGCCGTGTTGCAGAGTTTAATGGCGTTCCTATATGTGTCTCATTCAATGAATCTGTCTGTTCTTATGCTAATTGCAAATTTGCTCATATTTGTAGTTCTTGCAAGGATCCGCACCCGAAATCTGTCTGTCCACGCCGGTACAAACCGCCAACCCGGGGGAAAGCCCCATTTCAGAGAAAATTCTGAATAGTCACCCATCTACTCCCATTAATATACCAAACCTTTCAAGCTACCTTTTTTCTCACCCTGATCCGTTCTTCGTTGATTATCTCATCACCGGTCTGTCCCAAGGGTTTCGGGTGGGCGTCCTTTCCCATCTTACTGCTTCTTTTGTAGCAAAAAATTTACAATCAGCTAGAAACGAACCCGACGTGGTTTCAGCACTACTAGAGAAAGAGGTCAATAAAGGATATGTCATTGGCCCTTTCGCTTCTCCTCCTTTTTCTCCTTTTCGCGTTAATTCCATCGGCGTCGCAACGCGTAAATATTCCGGCAAAAAACGTCTCATTTTTGACATGTCTTCTCCCCATTCCTATGAAATAGCAAGCGTTAACGAATGTATTCCTTTAACCCCTTTTTCCCTTCATTATGCCTCGGTCGACAATGCTTTTCAGTTGATCAAGTTAGCCGGTCAAGGCGCTTGGCTAGCTAAAGCTGATATAACAGACGCTTTCAAAACTATGCCAATTCATCCCTCCGATTGGCCACTCTTCGGAGTCAAATGGAATTCTAAATTCTATTTCGCTGTAAGGCTCACATTCGGATGTAGAAGTAGTCCTCATATTTTCAACAGTCTTTCCGAAGCCTTGTGTTGGATCCTTCTGAATGTCTGTAAGCTTCCCTTTGTTTTGCACTTACTTGACGATTTTTTGTTGATCGATTTTCCTTCTTCCCAATCTACCGTTCTTGACATACTTAAACAGGTTTTTAGCGACGTTGGCGTCCCCCTCTCCGCTGAAAAAACGCTGGGCCCTTCTACTTCGTTAGAATTCCTAGGCATATTTCTCGATACCATCAAAATGCAAGCTTCTCTTCCTCACGAAAAGCTTCTAAGGATCAGATCTTTCCTGGAATCTTTTTCCTCCCTACACGTCGTTTCGAAACGCGATATGCTTTCTTTGCTTGGTCACCTAAATTTTGCCATGAGTATCATCCCGCAAGGCAGGGCTTTTATTTCTCGTCTGCTTACATTGGCTCATTCCGTGCAAGATTTAAGCGAATCGCTCCATTTAGACGAAGGATGTCTATCTGACATTAAATTTTGGACTCGGTTGCTAAACGAGTGAAACGGCATTTCCTTTTTCTACAATGACGCTTTCGAATCATCCGCAGAACTTCATCTGTTTACCGACGCCGCTCCATCTATCGGTTTCGGTTTTTTTTTTCAAGGGCAATGGTTTGCAGAGAAATGGCCAATCGATTTTCCTACGGTTACTCTAGGTCACGTTTCTTCCGCGCTCTACGAGATTTATCCTTTAGTCGTGGCCAGCATAATTTGGGGCTCAGCGTGGTCGAGGAAACGCATTATTATGTTTTGCGATA